TGTCTATGGAAGGGCTTACAGGCAAGAAAAAGATGATGGAAATGATGTAATATAATTCCCAAAAAATTATTTTAAAAATTTGAAACAGACTTTATGGCCATGTGCTTCAGAGACTAGAGATTTGTATTAGAGCACACCAAGTATTAGCCACACATTTTCTCTCAGGCTGTACATCTTAATCCTGTAATATAACAGTTCTTTCAGGCAGGGCCACACCATTTTACCCAGTCCTATTTTGGTCAAACTAGTTTGATTACTGCAATGTGGTTTCATGGTAAGTTAAGTTCTTTATCCAGATTCTTGATTCCCTGATCTGTGGATGTAAGGAAAAGCCAGTCAGAACATTTATCAATCATCTAAAATTGATTACCTCACTACTTATTTCTAATATGAGCTATGGTCAGAGGAAAGCTTTCATGCTCCTTCTTGCTCCTCCCTTTCCATGCTGGGACTACACCTGCTTTAAATTTGGTCAGTGAACTCAATTCCTACCCAGTCTGTCTTCATTTTTAAGTTTGTAATGAAATCCAGAGAAGTTAGAGGATACCTGTAGCTGAAGGTTTTCTCCAGTCCTGCCCAGCCACACAGAACCCACAGCCGCTTATAAAATAATCACTCAGAAGCTTATATTAATTAAAACTGCTCAGTCATTAGCTCAGGCTTACCACTGACTAGCTCTTACATTTAAACTCTGCTGTGGGATGTTCTGTATGTCAAATGTGTTGCTCTGATTGGTTAATAAATAAAACACTGATTGGCCAGTAGCCAGGCAGGAAGTATAGGTGGGACGAGCAGAGTGGAGAACTGAGAGAACAGGAAGGCAGAGGGAGACACTTCGAACCGCTGCCAAGACAAGGAAGATGTAAGGTACAGGTAAGCCATGAGCCACGTGGCAAAGTATAGATTAATGGAAATGGGTTAATTTAAGATAGAAGAATTAGATAGAAAGAAGCCTGCCACGGCCATACAGTTTGTAAGCAATATAAGTCTCTGTGTTTACTTGATTGGGTTTCAACAGCTGCAGGCCTGGCGGGTGAGAGAGATTTGTCCTGACTGTGGGCCAAGCAGGACTGGGGAAAACTCGAGCAACAAAACTCAGCCCATTTCAGTTAATCCATATGTTGCCACATGTTCCATGGCTTTATCTGTGTGTCATTACATGCTGTTCCCTGGATGGCGGGCTGGAGTCTGCTGACTCAGCCTTCCAGCCTTGCCACAATTTTCCTTGTTTGTTTATCCCACCTATACTTTCTGTCTGGCTACTGGCCAATCAACATTTTATTTATCAACCAATCAGAGCAACACATTCACAGCATACAGAACATCTCACAGCACCTCCCCTTTTCTGTCGAATCAAAAAGGAAGGGGTTTAACTTTAACATAGTAAAATTACATATAACAAAACAGTAATCAAGCAAGAATTACAGTTATAATATCTAGTCTATTTGTATTTGGCAAAATTAAAGAAAATATTCTATATATCCTATATTTGTGAGTCTAAAGTTTTATATTGAATTTATCTTTTATCATAACCAAGCATAATTATAACTATCTAGTCTTCAACTACATCAAAGACCTCAGAAGGATATAATATTACCTAAGAAAACAGGAAGAGCATTGTAAGCACTTTCAAAACTCTACAATAACAGAGACAGCTGGCTGCCTGGACAGTCACCCAAAGTTCCTCTGTAATGTTGGGGCATCCATCTTCAGCCTATAGGCTTAGAGTCTTTCAATTGCTTCTCCGTATTCTGTAGAATGTCTGGCAGCTTCTGAGAAGCAGGAACCTGAAGGACCATCTAGCCGTGCAAAGTTCAGTGATCACCTTCCCATGTCCAGTCGACATAGCTATTTGTCAAGCAGTCCAGGCAAGAACAGTTTCTCTCTCAAATGGCTGTCTTTTCCAAGAAGATAAACTCCACATGGAGTATCCTCAATGCCCATCCTCTTCTCTAAAGTAAATCGGTTCTGCCAGGAGCAGATGTGTCTCATTGTCCAGAAAGTCCAAGTTTTTAAAACATTTTAAATGCCATATTCTGAAGGTCTTTGAAGTGTTTGAAGATTACCTATCTATCTGAAATATATCTGTGTATACATAGAAAACTTAACATGACTACAAGTTTGATTATCATAGATGATTAGCTATTAATCTGTATTTCCTAATTATACATTATAATTTAAATGAGTTACATAAACATACCTTAAACAAGAGTAATTATATATATATACATATTATAACAAAATTAACTTTAAATTTGTATCAATAAACTAAAATCCATAGCAGTGAAAAGTGAAAACATTTTTAAACAAGTTGTTGCTTTTTAAAAGTAGGTTCATTAATCTACCCTCTCATCCTATCATATCTAGAGATACCCATTTACTGGTCTCTTTTTCCTTCCTACTGACCAGTTAAGGCCTAGCCTTGAAGCAGTTGCAGGACTTTCTTCCTAGCACAGGGCAGCAGAAGCAGGATTAGGTGTGAAAGCAATTCTCAACTCCATAGTGTGAGGCAACTCTAAACTACAGGAGACTTTGCTCTAAGAAATGATCAAAAACACTTGAGAAAAATGGAAAGAAATTCTTTTTATTAAGAAAATTTTTTTCATTTATTTTACACACCAATCAAAGATCCCCCTATTCCCTCCTCCTGTGCCCCAACCTCCCCCTCCCAACCCACCCCTTACTCTCCCCAATAAGAAAGCTAGGCCTCCCATGGGGAGGCACACCTAACAGCAGCAAGTCCAAGCCCTTCCCCCTGCCTCAAAGCTGCATGAGGTGTCCCATCATAGGTAGTGGGCTCTGAAAAGCCCGCTCATGTACCAGGGATGGATTCTGATCCTACAGGCAGGGGGTCCACCAAGAAGATCAAGTTACACAATTGTCTCACCATGCAGAGGGCCTAGTCCAGTCCCATGCAAGATCCACAGCCATTGATCCAACTTTCATGAGTTCCCACTAGTTTGGCTTGGTCATCTCTGCAGGTCTCCCCATCATGATCCTGATGCACATGCACATAGAATCCCTCTTCTCTCTCTTTGACTGGACTCCTGAAGCTCTGCCTCATGTTTGGCTGTGGATCTCTGCATCGGCTTCCATTGGAGAGAAGCTCTGTGATGACAGGGTATTCACTGGTCTGATCACTTGAGCAATCCAGTTCAGTTCAGACACCCTCGACACTATTTCTAGTAGTCCAAGTTAGGGTCATCCTTGGGGATTCCTGGCAACTTCTCTAGCACCGGGTTTCTCTCTATCCCCATGATACCTCCCTCTATCATGGTATCCCTTTCACTGCTTTCCCCCTTTCTCCCTGTTGCAGCTCAACCATCCCATCCCCTTGTGTTCTCATCCCCTATCCTGAATTGCCCACCTTTCGTACCCACTTAACTCATGGAAATCTCATCTGTTTCCCTTTCCCAGGGCAATCCATGCAACCCTCTTTGGGTCTTCCTTGTTAGCTAGCTTCTCTGGAGTTGTGGGTTGTTGTCTGGTTATCCTTTGCTTTACGTCTAGCATCCACTTATGAATTGGTACATACCATGTTTGTCTTTCTGAGTCTGGGTTACCTCACTCAGGATGATATTTTCTAGTTCCATCCATTTGCCTGAAAATTTCATGATGTCATTGTTTTTTTCTCTGCTGAGTAGTACTCCTTTGTGTATATGTACCACATTTTTATTATCCATTCTTCAGTTGGGTTCAGTAGTAGGGGCATCTAGGTTGTTTCCAGGTTCTGGATATTATGAATAGTGCTGCTATGAACGAAGTTGAGCATGTGTGCCTGTGGTATGATTGAGCATTCCTTGGATATATGCCTAGGAGTGGTATAGCTGGGTCTTGAGGAAGATTAGTTTCCAATTTTCTGAGAAACTGCCATACTGATTTCCAAAGTGGATGAACAAGTTTGTACTCTCACCTACAGTGGAGGAGTGTTCCCTTACTCTATATCCTCTCCAACATAAGCTGTCTGCCTTGCTTTTGATCTTAGCTATTCTGACAGATGTAAGATGGTATCTCAGAGTCATTTTGATTTGCATCTCCCTGATGACTAAGGATGCTGAGCAATTCCTTAAATGTCCTTTGCCCACTTGAAATTCTTCCTTTGAGAATTCTCTGTTTAGCTCTATAGCCCATTTATTAATTGGATTGTTCGTTATTTTGATGTCTAGTTTCTTGAGTTCTTTATATATTTTGGAGATCAGCCCTCTGTTAGATATGGGGTTGGTGAAAATCTTTACCCATTATGTAGGCTGTTGCTTTGTCTTATTGACTATGTCCTTTGCCTCACAGAAGCTTCTCAGTTTCAGGAGGACCCATTTATTAATTGTTGCTCTCAATGTCTGAGCTACTGGTGTTATAGTTAGGAAATGGTCTCCTGAACCAATGTGTTCAAGTGTAACTGGTTTTATATTGAGGTCTTTGATCCACTTGGACTTGAATTTTGTGCATGGCAATAGATACGGCTCTATTTGCAATCTTCTACATGTTGACATCCATTTATGCCAGCACCATTTGTTGATGATGCTTTCTTTTTTTCCATTGTACAGTTTTGGCTTCTTTGTCAAAAAGCAGGTGTTCATAGGTGTGTGGGTTAATGTCAGGGTCTTCAATTCAATCCCATTGGTCCACATGTTGGTTTTTATGCCAATACCAAGCTGTTTTTATTACTATAGCTCAATAGTAGAGCTTGATGTCAGGGATCATGATGCCTCCAGAGGTGGCTTTGTTGAACAAGATTCTTTTAGCTATCCTGGGTTTTCTGTTTTTCAAAATGAAGTTGTGCAGACACTAAGAGATTCTTAATGACCTGGAAACAATGGGAAATAGAAACAAATAAAAGACTAGAGTAATGATGTATTTAAAGAAATTCAAATTTAAAAAGTGAAACAAGTAATTGTCTTTTTAAAAAGATAAATATAATTGAAAAAACTTTAGCTATACTGACTTTGAAAAACAGAAAACCATTCCATGGTAGAGGGAATGGCATTAATAAGATATTATTTCACCATGCCCCTATGTACAATGTTAGCTGCTAAGCCCAATGACCTGGCACACACAGCTACAGCTAGTGGATATAATTCATTACAAGCAGGATTGAACATATCTGCATAGAATTTCCCTTGTTGGAAATTCAATATTTAGCTCAAGCTAACCTTCCCAAATTGTACACCCCCAATCTGGCCTGTCTTCTTTCACATGACATAGATCAGTACATGCTGGGAAATTACAAAATCTCTGATACTGCCACAATCAGGTCCTATTTCATGATGTCGACTCCAGCAGCTGTTCGCCTACCCAGTTTCTCCCTACAGTGTACACAATAAACTATTTCTCCTATTCTGGTCTGAAGGTAGAAGCCATGCTCCACACACACAAATCCTTTTCCTGTTACTAAGCTGACAATTGACTACATGACTCAAAATTGTAATTTTGAAACTCGGTGGTAGTTGAGTTCTTATCTAAGAATTTTATTGGTTTAATCACAAACATAACAAGGGACTTATTGGGAAGCAATAGGGGAGCAATAAAGTGGGATCAAGACGACCTGATTCAACATTGAAAGAAGATTGTCTCAGAAACATTTTTCTACAAGGCTGAAGATCCTGCTGTTCTAGAATTAATATGTCTTCCCAGGGAGAAATCATCCCCCACACTTAAAAGTTTAATAAACAAAAATCTCTTTAATAACAGCATGTTTCCAGAAGTGGCTAATGTTAAAAGAGGAGCCAGCCGGGCAAAGATTTTGCATGAAACATATACTGTCATCCCTAAGACTCTTTTAGGCTCAGGCCCAAGGTTATACTTTGAATAATTTAAATAGGAGAAGGTAAGTTTAGGAGAAGGTAAGACTAGACACTTAGGCAGATGGAGATTTACAGAGCAAAACTATCTTTTAAGTATGCATTATGATCTAAATATAAATATACCACAATGTATGATTTAAAAGATAAGTAGATCATTATGTATGATCTAAAAGATACAATTAAAAGAAGTATCAATGCCACAATCTTCAAACATACAAAGGACATAGAGCACAAATACAAAAAAATGGAAAAGTAACCTATCCGCACTGTGAATGATGTTCTTAAATAAACACATATTCTGACCTATTCTAACCTCAAAATAATGCTTCTTTTTCCTCTGAGCAAGCTGGCTCAGAGGAACAATACAGCTGCTTCTATGAAGGACCAAAAACAGTTCATTTTAACTAGCCATGACTGCTGTTTGTCTCAAGG